AAGATCCATGCTTTTCCCTTTTAACTGCTGCCTAATACTCCATCCTATGGTCACTGCTGTGTCCTTCAGGCTGGGGTCATGTGCACCTCCTGGTCATCGTGGCGAGAGCTGCAGGCATATCTGTATGCACACACTCTGTGGGGACGCTTGCCTGCAGGCCTCTGTGTGCRCTGGCTAGTGGGACTGCAGGGCCTCCGGTAGCGCTGTCACGTCCAGTCCTTCCTGCTGTTGCTCCTKTGCTTTCCTCGCGTCTTGTCCAGCGGGCCCAGGGACTGACCTCTCTAACTTTCTTCTTCATCTTCTTTTTCAAGCTTCTCCTTCTCCTCCAGTTTCCATTCCACAACTCTGACCTGGTTTTCTGGAGTGGCGAATCCAGCAGCCAGGGGTGGTCCAGCTTCTCATCTCCATTCCCATCTCCAGCACTGCTGCAGCTGACCACGGGTGACCCTTGAAGGAACATGGCTGAGTCTGAATCTGAGAAGACGGACGAGGTTCTGAAATCTTCTCTAGTTCACACAGGAATCCCTGCCTTGGACTATGAGGTTGTGAGGTTTCCAACTTATTTCTCACGGGGAATCGCCATCTATCTCTGGGTCCTGCCAGGAGCCAGCCTAGAGGTACACTGGGGTCCCTGGCACCTGTGCAGATGGAGACCTGCTGGCTTGGACAGGCTCGCGGCCACCTGCGGCTCCTCCCACTGCCTGTGTTAGGAGATGGTCGTGATCCCATGCCCAGGTCCCCGCCCGCACTCACATCCTGTGGATCACAAAGGCAGAGCTGAGGTGACTTCTCCCCGCCTGCGTGGGAACCTCCACAAACACTCCTCTGCAGTTCCAGTGTCGGCTACCGTGGGTTTCCATGGGAACCTGGGAGCGGGCAGCTGTCCGAGGTACTGCCAACACTCCTCCATCTTCCTATAGCAACCCTGCTGCCTTTGGTCCCTACGGGTTGTGCTGAAACAGACCTTGGTGGCTTCCCAGCACGTCCCATCAGTCTTTTGTCTGTGGGGCAGGACGCTGGTTCTGAATTGGGCTCACAGCCTGCACAAGTGGTTTCCCAAGTCCTTCTGCAGTCGAGTGTAGAAAGGTGGTCACATTCTGACCAATGAGGAGCAAGAGAGAAAGCGGGGGTCAGCAGGAAGGTCATTTAGGAAGAGTTGTCCCCACAAAGACCTTTCTAGTCACTTTTCTTTGGCCTGAAATGCAGATGTGATGATTGGCGCCCTCACAGCCATCTTATCTATGAGGATGTCAGCCATACCTTAGCACATCAGGTGCCTGGGACCCTAAGGGTACCGGGGAACCGCTTTACCAGCCCTGGCCCGCCTGTGTTGTGGCTTCTTTTATGTGAAAGAGAAATTTCTATCTTATTTATGCCATTCTTATTGGGTTTTTTWAAAAAATTAAACAAATGATCCTAAATGATCCTGACAAATATAGTTTGAGGCTTGTTTAGCATGGCTAGTCATCCTAACATGATATAGTCAAGATTTCAATYCTATCTGGCCAGATCTGAAATACCGATTAAACATCAATTACTCTTTATTTACGACAGCTCATTCTATTACTTAAAACACATTTGTTTTAAAACAAAGCACATTACCTACAGTAAATGGAAAGTCAGTACTGCCTGGAATAGGCAGATGATGATTAGAGAGAGAGATTAAACTGTAGCTGTTCAGTCCTCCTGTCTGCAAGCTATCTGCAAGGAACGGAGGCTTTGGAGACATATGGTACTCTGGGGGAGATGGATTTCCTCCACTCCACAGCCTTGCTAGGGACTGAGCATAAGCTTCTGTCACTTTTCAGGTCTGTGTGCCACCTGACATCACCCAAGATCTGCTGAAGGTGAGCCTGGGAGACAATTGTGTTGAAGACCAGGCAAAACCCGGATGCCTCGTGACCTATCACCTGAGCAGAGGCAGGGTCAGGGTGAGCAAGAGTCTGAGAGGCACCATGGGATTCAAGGGACAGAGTATAATGATTATCTGCTTCTTTTCCAGAATGGGAGCCAATGCTGCTTAGTCAAGACAGATCTAAGCGCTGCGATAACATTCACATCAGTCCTGTTAGGATGAGAGGCCCACAGCCCACGTCTTCAAACAGGGAAGGTGTGTTGCAGTGCAGATAAGGATCTGCAGAACTTGTCACTTCCACTAAAGTGTCTCCTTAATCCACAAAATTACACCTGCCACAGGGACTTAACTTCATTAACGCTACTCCCTGATCCGCAGTGGATTATCACAACACAGAGCTTCCTGTGCATCCCAGTGACCACGCTGCCACCAAGAAGAACAGCAAAGCAGGCAGGAAAGTTAAAGGACCTAGAGAGCCAAGCAGTTCCTGCGGTTAAAACAGTCCCTGGATGATGCGCTTCCCAGTTGTCATTACGGAAAGAGTGTCCCCTCCCTGCCCTTGGCCCCTGGCTGTCATGGTGCAAGGCTTCCCTCATGGAATTATCTATAGCTGAGAAGTTCCAAGTGAGGACAATTGGTGAACATATCAATCAATGTATTCAAASTCTCCATTTTCATCCTGTATGTTTTATGAAATAGCAAAATCCTCAGGCAGCCCCATGGCTCCCTGCAGACAGTCATTACCCACCAGCCTTCCCCAGCTTCCTGCTTGCTCCTCAGGAGGGCCGCCTATTGTGCGTCCCTCTCAGGACACTGTCTGCTCACAACAGAGCCCTTCTCTGTGGCCCGGATAGAGTCTTAATGCATGTGCTCTAGACACCTTCTTATTTCAAACAGGTAGATTAGAGGCCATTCAGTACGGGTGTGCACGGATGTTATCCCACTACACACACTAGCAGAGACATGGTCTCCCTCCAACACTTCTTCAAGGAACATTTGTAGACAGCCCTTTGTGTACCCAACATGCCATTAGGCTTGGCACCCAGCTGCAAACCAGCCTTGATTCCTAAACCCAAAGAGCTTCCAGCTTAGATTTCCCTCATCAAGCAATGCCTGCTGGATGTAATGCAATGTGTCCCTCAGCAAGTATGTCATGTGACTTACATGTCACATACAACATGTGCATGTAGGAGCATGCTTAGATGGATGTGGCCATATCTATGTGCACACATGATACCTTTTCTGAGCACATACACAGAAGGCACTACACATACAATCATACGTGTGTGTACAAACTTGCTTTTTCTATTTCCTGCTCTGAGGTCAAGTTTCCAATCGTGGCATTGGAAATGGTGAGTGATGAAGAAGTTTCCCTAGGCAGATGGTGCAGGGATACCAAGCCTCTGGAGGCACCTGAATGTCCCACCAGGGCCTTGTTTCTCAGAGAAGACACTGACTTGGATGAAAGAAGAGCCAGAGGCAGCAAATCCATGTGCATTTAGAGGGTGAGAATCTGGAAATCCACAGAAGAGCAGCTTCACCTMCATGGTAGCTGCCACCCTCCACCCTCGGAGGGTTCTAGTCTTCCCCTCTGTGCCCAAGAGAGATTCAATTATAATCAAAAAGTCAAAAGAAATAAGTTTAAAAAAATGCTTAGTAATGGTTCAAATCCTTTCACAATTCATAGAAAACATTACAAATGCCAATTCTAATAACTCAAGACAGTAGATAGCAAAAAGAGATCACAATAAAAAATAAAAGAGCATGGGTTGAGACCCTTTCCCCCAAACTTACCTTCCTCTTCTGGTAAAGAACAAATTATCCATCCATTATCCATCCATTCATCCATCCATCCATCCATCCATCCATCCATCAATCTACCCATTTTTTCATCCATCTACCCAACTGTCCTAATTTTTGCAGCTGTCAACACACACACACACACACAAAAACTTCTGCAGAGAGAGCACCTCGTGTCACACGGCAAGCTGCGGACACTAACCATGCACATGTGTGGGGTCATCCAACCCACCCATGTAGCCACTATAACTGCATAAACACCAGGAAGGAACTCAAAACTCAAATTCACACTTCCTCTTTCTCCTCTCATTGGCTCCACAAGTGAATCTTCAGGGGGAAAAAAAACATCTTCAAACACTGGCCACAAGAGGAAGAGGACAAGCTATCGCTGCAGACGACCCAGATTCTCAGCTCCCACATTGAGCAAAGGGCACAGAAGGGAATTCAAATCGAATCACCCCCGAATTGGGTTCCAATGCTCCTTGGTAATGAACCACGGGGAAAAAAAAGTAATAACTGTCAACCGAGATTCATTACCTCTGTATTATAATAAATAATGGAAAATGAATACATTTTCCAAACATGGAGCTATGAAGTTTAAAACTTCATTCCAGAAATAATGGCCTACATACCCAGATTCCTCCTTTCATTATTGTTCAGATTTTCAGCAATATGAAAAGCAAAAAAGAAACCTAAAAGTGACAAAAATGTGACCAGACTAGGAATTCTCCAGAGCCGCAATGAGATTCTGAGAAAGTGGAATAAATCAGAAATTACCGAGTCTCCAAGTCTCTCTCTGCCCAGCTGTGAACTGATTGTTTCTAATTTGGTGGGTATCAGAGACAGATTCGGGTTTTAATTTCTCCCCAGAGTGATTCACAATTCCCTGTAATTCCACAGCCAATAGTTCCCTGATCCATCAGAATATGCCTGCACACAATCACCATCACACTGGGCAATGTGGGAGGCTCCCCGTGCACAGGGAGGATTGCACTCCGGCCTTTGACGCTTGCAAAATGGGCCATGTTGCAAGATGCCCAGACTCTGGGCTCACCTAATGCTGTGAGCTAGCAGGAGGTCATGGGGAAGTGCAGCCTGGTCTGCAGATCACTCCACCTGCGTGGAGTAGTCCTCACAGGTGCCAGAGCTGTGCTGTGGTTTGACAGGTCCACTGTGAACTAGAGTGCATTGTTCCCAGCCGAAGGAATCCGTCCGTCCTGCTGCAGGCACTAATAACAACCCACCGAACACAGTCGCCGTGCAGACAGCGCTCAGCGATTATGGGGAAAGGCTGCCATCACCACCACAGTAGATGGACACAGGTTGAAGCCCGGGTGTGACTCACCTGTTTTCTGAGCTGCCAGACTTCTTCTGACAGATGATGACAGCTGGCGCGTACCTCCCCGTGTACTCCGTGCTCTCCTGGACATCCCAGATGGAAGGGCTGCTGGCTCGCACGCCCACGATGTTCACACCCTTCTTCACCTTTGCCCTGTTGGAGACAGGAAGCCATGTCTGAGACGCTCTGAGGCCCTGGGTCCTGCTGGTGGGAGCAGGCCGTGAGCTCATTCACATGCTGCCACCTTGAAGTTCGGAGCTCACAAGCAGTAGCAGTTAAATACGAGTTTGCCACCGCCTCCTGCCCCCCTGTTCTTCCCAGGTACCCCTAACTTTAATAAAGGAGCTGCGGTAATACACTGGCCTGGAGCAAACCAGACACAGGGGGAAACAGAGGATCTTCCTGCTGCTTTATGCCTTTAATTAAAACACCATGGGCGCGTGCACACACACACGCACACGCACACGCACACGCACACGCACACGCACATGTACACGTACATACCTGCCTGAAAACCTTTACATTGGGAAAACTAAATGGAAACAGGAAATGAGCTAAGCATGCAAAAGTACAGGTTCTAATAAGGATACACCTTCCCCAAGAGCCCCCTGCTGTGTACCAGCAAGTGAGGTACCTAATTTCCCCCAACAGCGCTCATGTTCGCAATAGGATGCTAAAGTTGAGACAGGAGGGAACACAGGTGGCCCTAGGCACCTGTGGGCACCGATCTTATCTGCATAGGTCTTCTGGGCTTCTCAGTTTCTGCTCTTTCTAGGTCCTCATCACCGCTGCCATAACGGTCCCCATGATCGCTCTGTCCACCACGTCATCTCACTCATAGTTATGGAGGGCTCACCACACCCTGGATGCACAGCTAAGTTCACCACGAGCTTTTTTCCTTCCATTTCACAAATTCACTCTGCAGTCAGGAACAGTTTAATTTTTGCCAAGCAGGTTTAATTTTTGCCATGGCCAGGTGCAGGATCTGACCTGCAKGCACCTGATGTCTGCTGCCTCCCARTGAGCTCACCAGAGCTGGGCTGGTGGACCCCACTCTATTCTCGCCCTCTGCTACACAACTTTTGTGACCGTGGCCATGCCATCCGATGTCTAGGCACACCTCATTCAAGTGCAAACTTCCCAGAGTCCCCTGACAGTGCACACTGGCCATGTCCCCSTCTGACCAGGGAGGGGTAGGCAATGTGCCCACAAGTATTCCTCCAAGGCACCAGGGACTCTGTTCCCTGGAGGAAGGAGAAGAAGGGAGCCCAGAGCTGGTGGCCTCAAATGTTCCTAATCTTCCCTAAGAAACCTCAAAGGAAAGTGCGCATGCGACAGTGAGCATATGGAGACAGGATACCACAGTCATCTGCTGCCGGATTCCTAAGCTGCCTCTGTGCTTGAAGAAACCGTGATTCCCACGTGTCTTCTCTTTCTTGTCCCTTGTGGATAGCAAAGATTTTGGAAGCCTGGTCACTGAGGTGACTGGTAGGAGGCAGCACAAGGTGGACTGACCCCACGTTCCAGGTATCCAGACAGCAGGGTGTGAACCTTGAACCCTGGCTGTTATCATCAGAGGAGGCAAGTGAGGCCCCTGCTCCCGGGAAGGAGAGTTGGCAAAGTTGGAAGAAGGTGACATTCCCAGGACTGGAGCCTGCAGAAAAATTGAGACATGACTGCCCCCAACTAAGGACACTTTCAGGAAAGGCTCCCCACAGCAGACCTGAGGCAGCCCCCTCCTCACAGCAGGGCTGGCACCTAGGAGCTGGGGTCCAGGAAGTCCCTCCAGAGCCTCCTTGGTAATGGTGAAGGCTTTGGGCTCAGATGTGCAGACAGTGGAGCCCGCACTGACCTGTCCCCAGTGTGGCCTTGATTCCCAGGCTCAGGGTATATGGGCCACCAGTCCCCAGGGGGGCCCTGACTCCAGGCTCAGGGTGTATAGATGAATGGTCCCCAATGGGGCCCTGACTCTCAGGCTCAAGTGAGCTTCCTGAGGGGACAGCCCTTAGTGTTGTCACTGCAGGACATTCTGTGACAGCAGCTGGAGAGGACGCTGGGTGCTGGCTGCAGGTCTCCCTGCACTCAGTTCTGTGACTTGTCCCCCTGCAAATTATTCTTTGCATCCCCTCGTGGTAATAATTCTTAGCAGTGAGTGTGACTCGATGTTGAGTCCTGTGAGTCTAACAACTTGTTGACCTTGGGGGTGATATGGGGTCTCCAGCACGTGCACTGATTTGCCCTTGAGTCATGATGCCTGCTTTGCTGAAACTCAGTCATATTGTTGACAACGAAGACTTGCTAGTTAAAAAAAAAAAAAATTCAATTCACTGGGACAGTGACTATTACAACAAGATGAATTCTAAGGGCTTTTCCAATTACTGTGCCCTGGAACTTTATTGAATCACATTTGCTTGAAACAAATAGGTTACTGGCCAGATTTTTGGAAAGCGTTTTGTTACATGGGAGATATCAATACATGGGACTTTCCTGACATATAATGGGTTTATATTTTTTCTTAAATTTTGTTTCTACAGTAGGTCATTTGGGGTTAGGATAAAGTTTCTCCAATGAAATGKTTTCAAGTTCTTGAGATGAGACAGGCTGCTTATTTAACCTGGGCAGTACCAACATTTGTTGCTATTACTATGTTGAAGCTACCTGGAGCTCTCCTGGAGGGTAGTGTCTCTAAGAGCCAATTCTTTCTGAGATTTAGAGCAGGATGTGGGAATTGCCATTCATAAGTAAGGGACATCATCCTAAAAGAAGGCATGTTGCCAGGGTGTGCTCTGGGTGACCTGGCGAAGGCTGGTTTCCAGAGAGGGGTCCGTGCACCATGGGTAGTTATTGATCATGAACTACGCCAGCTACTGAAACTCACTCCTCAGGGAACCAGCCCCAGAGCTCACCAAGCACGTCTGCGTGGTGTTAATAATTTTGAAACACTTATCTCAGAGCTGCAAGTGGCAGTGTTTGGAACGTTACAACAGTTCTTAGAACTCATGCGGATTGGCTCCACTGGGTCTGAACCAAATGCTAATTTCTTCTTTGTTTATGACAACTGAGTTACTTACAGTCATTAATGGAAGTTTTATAACCTACTTGTGGTTCAATAAATACAGGTTACATTGACAGCCTCATTACACAGAGATAAACATAGTGCTTGATTTCCGAAGACGCTTTGCTGCAGATTTATATTTAATAATATATCTACCATGGTGATGGGGGGAAGGCCATAATTTTCCCCAAAGCTCTCACATGCAGGGTGGATTGCCACAGCACACCCTGCTTGGGCTGGGGGGAATGCCATGTTTATAAAGCACACTGAAGCTCTACTCTATGTGCAGAATACATATGAGCTCAAGCATGTATTAAGTATGATATTGATATTATGGACATAGTGTGCCTACAACATACACACACTATCCCAAGTAGCCAGGCACATGATTGACACAGCCAGGAATAGCTGGGAACCTGGATATAGAAGGGATTGCAAGATTCGTACTTTTGCCCCTCCCTGACCCACCCCTCCCATTCCAGGTAGCAGTAGCCTATTACATGTTCTGCCCTCGGTCAACCTGCACCCCGATGATGAAATTGCCATTYCAGGGCTTCAAGCCTTCACCCTGGGCAAGAGGTGGACAGGTGACCCAAGCCAGCCCAACCAAAAGCTGTCTCCCTGGAATTTGATCATAAGAAAGAGACGCAGCAGAAGAGAAAGGAGCAGGAAATCCATTCGGCACTGTGGCCCCTGACGCCCCTGTGCTCCACCTCCCTCTCTCTCTCTGGTCCCCTAGGATTGACACATGCAAGTGTTTCTGAACCTGGCTTGTCCACTGTCCTTTAGCCAATGAGATGCTTTCCACCCTCCCTCCTTATGTGAGCCAGGCCTGACTCTTTCCATTTGCCATTTTATGACAAGCAGAGGCTCAGCTGCTGTGACAGTGCTCCCAAGGTTTGCTCACTTCAGAATCGAGGAGTGGGATCTTGTCCTCTGTGGAAAGGCACRGCTGGGATCTCAGGTCAGTGGGCCGTTCTGCTCCACTCAGTCACTCAGGGATCAAGGGGTCAGGTGGCTATGTTAGTCACCCCTGCATCACTGTAACCAAAATCCCTGACAAAAGCAACTGAGAGGAGGAAAAGTCTACTTTGAGCTCATGATTTCAGAGGTTCAGTTCATGGTCAGCCAACCCCCTTGCTCGGGGCCTAAGGTGAGGAGAGCACCATGGTGGAARGGCCGGGTGGAGAGAGGCTGCTCAGATCCCAGCTGCTGGGAGGTGAGAAGTTCACTTCCTGTGGAGCTGGAAGCATGGTGGACTGTGTGGGCACAGCAATRAGTCCACCTTGAGATCACCTGTGTGGGAGGCTGCTCCTGGCTAAGCAGAGATTAGTTGGCTATGCTGCCTTTAAGCAATGACCCCCACCCCCACATATTTCAAGGGAATTTGAAGAAGGAAGGTAAGAAGAGATCCCAAGCATCTCCAGTTCCAGGAGGAAAGGATGCCTGTGAGCTTCTCCCCAGAGATGCCAATGGGCACCTTTTTCCAGGGCCTGGTCTTCAGTAGACCACGCCAGCTCACTCCCCTCACCTCTGACCTACATGCCATAGGAGAATTTTTGTTGTTGTTGTTTTAGTGAACTTTTCCATCACTGTGACCAAAATACCTGACGAGAACAATCTAGAGGAGGAAAGGTTTGTTTTGGCTCATGGATTCAGGGGTTCTATCCATGATCAGCCCACTCTGTTGCTCTGAACCCAATATCACGGCAGGAGGGTGAGGTGGAGGAAAGCAGCTCAGGACACAGCAACCAGGAAGCAGGAGAGAGCAAGCTCCACTCACCAGGACAAAACAGAAACCCTAAAGACAGCCCCCACCTACCCACCTCCTCCAGCCACACCCTGCCTCCTGCAGTACCCCCCAGTTAAGCCACCTCAATGGATCAATGCAATGATCAGGTTATAACTCTTGTAATCTAATCCTTTCACCTCTGAATGTTCTTGCATTGTCTCACACATGAGCCTTTGGGGACCTTACATCTAAACCATAACACTATTCAGTGACACACAGTGCCCATCCTCCACCTATACCAACTGAGGATTTGGTAACGGCATCCTTCCTGGTTAACTGATGGAGACATTGGGCAAATGGTTTGCC